GAGAAAGTCTGCCGAACGCCCCGCTAAAGGATTCTCAAGTTCAGGGTTATTGCATTTCGTTTCTGGTTCGGGTAGTACAGCTATACTTTATGCCACCAAATTATATTTAAAATATTTCAGCAAGAGAACTTTAAAGTTGTTAAACATGCTAGCCTCGTGCATCGATGCAGGCAGAGAGGGAATCTCGGGCTTATGAAGTGACTCCCCAAGGGGGTTTTACAAATAAAACCAAAAATGTAAAGAAAGGACATTTATGTTTCCTTTTAAACATCCTTCAGTATTTGGTTGGTTTGTATTTTACAAAATTGACAGCATCTTCATTTTGATGATAGAATTAAAAGAAAAATTGTAGCTCTATAAAGACTAATAAGGAAAATGCCAGCCTACCATTGAACATGTTAAATTTTACTGCCTTCAGAGATAAAAGTTTCCATAACTTTATGCCTGAGTAAATCATCACCTGAAGTCAAGATGGAGAAAGAAAAGTCATAATAACCCGTCCCAAATTAACAAAGCTTTAACTGATGGAGCCCACATGTTTAATTCCCAGCCATGCTGGTTGGTGAGGGAGCTGTGAAAACAAGCGAGTCCTTTCCTCAAACCCCCGCCAACCCCGGAAGCCCACACAATCCACATTTACTTCCTTTTGTCTCTTCCTCTCCCCACCTCCAGCTTCCCTTCTTTCAGCCACTCAGGAAAGTGTCAAAATGAATCAATACTTGTTTCCCTCTCTCTTCTAGAGCAGGTGACAAATACTGGGCACTCAATAAATATTTGTTGAATCAATGAATGACCCCACGATCCCTCCCAACAGAAGTGACTGTGTGAGGATGTGCACGCACGCGCGCACGTGTGTGTGTGTATGTATGTATGTATGTTATATAGCCCTCCTTACTTTTTCCAAAGTATTTTTAAATTATAGAAAAGAGGAAATTGAATTAAACTAGTTACATTGAGATACTCCTTTACGGGGCTTAATGCTCATGAATCTGTATGTGAAAAGCTGACTAATACTCAGAGAATTCACACATTTAAAATATCACTAGGTAGGTGGGCATAGGTGCATTAGAGGACTGCTTTAGTTTTCCTCAGAGTCATTCACGGATTCGTTGAGTCATCGAACATTTACTGAGCTTGCGCTGAGCTAGAAATTGTGGTAGACACTGGGAAACAGTGACGACACCGGTTTTTCTCTTGAGCCTATAGACTGATGATAGATATGCAATATGTGTCTGATTAGCATGACCATGTACCAAACAAAATAGCATGTGGAAATAAAGACCTAAACTGTAGAACAATCCTGTAAGCAGGATTGCTGCCAGTCCTACATCAGGCTATCATGGGTAGTTTTCAAAAGCATAAAACCCTACTGTATTCACAATGGCCCACAGCTACCTGATGCTAGGGTCTGCTTGGTAGATATGATGTCAATATGAAGACTAGAAAATTAAAACAAATGTTACATTTATTCCTCTTTGTTATACATCTCATATTTGTAATTGAAGACTTGGTGCACATATTTCTGGTGAGAAAGTGAGTCACTTGCCAAAAATGTAATTGTACCTCAATATTCAGATACAATACGTATGTAAGAGAAGATAATAATCGAAGAGTTAAGATTTTTTTTCCTTCCTGATGCTTCTAACGTGAGAAAACTCATGTTACTCAGAACGCCTGTTGCCTTTTCTTTTTAGCCATCTCTACAGGTATAATAATTGTCTTAAGGTGCTGCTAAGTATGACTGTTGGGCCCATACTGACTTTTGACTGTATCTAAAGTCCGCATTCTTTTCTCATTGTCTTGAGAAGAGAATTCTTTCTTTTCTGAGGAAGAGATGGCCCCTCCTAATAAATAGAAACACACTTCATATGTTTATTATCTTTTAACTGGCAAAAGTTAAAAAAACAACAACAAAAAACACAATTCCACAAACACAATACAACCACCATGATGATTTTAATTTATAAAGCATGCGTCTTTTCCCAGGCCTGTGCCAGCGAATGTTATAATCATATTCTGTGGACATTTCTGTATTTCCTTCCTGTCATACTTTAATTTCTAAGCTGCTACTATGCTTGGCACTCCCTATGGCAGCAAAACTTGAAACATGTGCAGTACAATTCCCCAGACCATTCATGGAGGAAGCGTTGAACTTGAATTTGCCTAGTTCTCTGTTTTTCCTTGAGCATCTACTCGAATCTTCTTCCCAAAGGAAGGTCATTCTGGGCTAGCTACCACTTGTTTTTCTGCCAGCCCTCTTATTTGGAATTCTGCAGCATTTTTTTTTTTCACGTGTCAGTGTTATATCTCTGAGGCCTGTGACCATTTAGTTTTCTGCTCCATTTCTTCTCTGTTTAGACACCGCCATGCCCCGTCCTACATACTAATTACTGACTTTTTGCTCCCGCGAGGCTCGATTCATTGTGTCACATTTTCCCATGTGAAAGTGGACCAGGAACCTTGGCAAAGAGGTTAATGGATTTAAGAGTCACTCTTATTTAACCCTGGAAGTTGCGGCAAAAGAGGAACCCGTGGCTGACCCATTTTATAAACCAAGCTGTGGTCAGCTTCGGCTGCAGACTAGCAATGGATTGCATCACGGTGGCAAGTAGCTACAGAACCTGAACAAGACTGAAGATACACACTCCCACTTCCTAGCTTTACATCTCAAAATTTGGTTCAAAGTACTGATTTTGTTGTTATTCCTTTAATGGGAACACGTGGTAGAGTAGAAATAACCCCTGAATGGGAATTAGCACTTACAGGTTTTAGATTCTGTCACTAATTAGATTGCACAACTCTCCATATTATCAGATTCACTTTCTGGATTTCAATTTGCTCATCTTTATAATGAGGCTATTTGACCAAATGATCTTTACTATCCTATCTGGCTCTGGGAGTCAATGATTTTAAAGAGTTCTATTCATTGATCCAAAACCCATTTACTTGACCTTGTTATTTTCCAGTCATTGTGCTAAGGAGCATAGATATAAATTTGAAATCTTAAACAAAAAAGGAAATGTGCATTTTCTTTCTGAGGACTTGTGTGGGGCAATATTACCCTTAACACCAATGTTACAGCACTTTTTTCTTTAAGGTTCCCAGCATGAGGAGTAGGTGTTTATACAAAGAGAGGTCATACTTAGCCTAAAGGGGAGACTCGCAGGATCAGCTTACTTTGCTCAATAGTTTTCAAATAAGCTGTCTACAGAGAAAAGGAGAGTGAATCGACCTTAGCCAGTGTTACCACCAAAATCCTTTAGCCATTCATCACCATGAGCTAATAATAAATATTAAATATGACTCCTTATTCATAGGTGACCCCTTCCAATTGTCTCTCAGTAGCTATTTTGGAAGAATACGTTCCATTATGGTCGACTAGATAAAGCTTCGCCTGACTTCCCGTAGGTCTCCAGTTAACTTCCTTTTCCTGAAGAACTAAACAAGTTTTCCTCCAACCAGTAAATGCAAATAAAGTTTCTAATGTTCCTTAAAACTTATTTTGGCTCTTTTCTTGGAAGACCAAAATACAAAAAAGGACAGAAAAGAGAGGGCTTTCCAACTGTCTCATTGAGTAAATATTTTTCATTAGAGTGTGGCAGACGTCTTTTAAACCTTTGGAACCAGAGCAGCTCAGACCAGGAAAACTCTCTTTTCTTCCTGCCTGATTCTTCTCCCTGAATGTAATTTGTGTCACAACTTCTCAGCATATAAAGACTGACGTATAGCAAGAAGCCAGACAGTTCATCATTGGTCCTATACTGTTATTTTATTATCATTATTATTATTGCTACTATTAAATCAACCACTACGCTGTTTGCAACCAGTTGTAATGTTTCAAAACAGCCACCACCACCATTCATATTTCAGAAACTCTTTGGTGTCAGTGGGAATAAGAACAGGTTTTCTCTTCTATCTGAAAGCAGAGAGTTCCTATGAATCCTTTCTGAAGCTGAAACAGTGTCAAGTGAAGAAGCCATCACCTTAGGGCCCACCTTGCTAAGGGATGCACAAAATAGATTGAGATAAAGCACAGATGCTCACAGACACAGCTCAAAGCTCCTTCAAAGCTATGGCGGCTTGATGCTGAGATGCTGAGTGTAGTTTCTGGGGAAGAGCTTGGTGGTTCAGGGTCCACGCTACCTCTATAATGGCTCGCTGCAAAATAAATACTGAGCGCTAATTTTTCCTTTCACTTTTTTTTGGTAAAAAGTGAAAATCCTCTTTGGATTCCTTTTGGATAGCAAAAACTGGCCTTTCCTAAAAGCAGAGTGATATAAAACGAACTTTTAAAAAGCGGGGGATACCTGTGTGCTTTCAAAGGGTCTGACGCATCCCTGGTCCTTCGAAGGGTGGGCAGGAGGTGGGATTGCGAGCCTTTGGGCTGTATCTGCCTCTAGTTGAGATCTTTCAACAACAGTCCCTCCCTTCAACATCTCTGCAACCAGGTTAAAACCAACTTCTACTAATTACCATAAACAGTTTAAGCCTCAACTGCCATGCTGAACTGAAGAGGCGTATCTATCCAATTCAGTTAATGTTATTCCATATTGATGGCATGCTGTACTTAAGAATCATCATTTATCTTTAAAAGTGGTATAGAACTCTTAATTTACCAGAGTGCCACCACAGCCCTGGGAACTAGAGTCACATTTGCATACCTATTTTCAGATCATCAGATTGAGACTAGATAAGGTGTGGCATTTTCCTGCCACTACAGACAGAAAGCCCAGGCTTGGAGCTTATTTGAGGTAGCATTGCTTCACTGAGTAGCAAACAATGCTACATTTGTTTGCAGAGAAATGAGGATGACACCCGTGCAGCCTTCTATCCTATTCTTCTTTTAAAAGATTTTTTGCTGGCTTTGCTTGCTTTTTGCTTTCTTTGCCCAATGGACCCATCTTACTTCTTAGAGCTGCAGAGAGTAGTATATACTCTGAAAGCTTCCAAAAGGATCATTGCAGTTCTTGGTGTGATCGTATGTTTTTTTCTTTCTCCAGGCCCACCATCTGCTCCCCTCAATTTGATTTCAAATGTCAATGAGACTTCGGTGAACTTGGAATGGAGCAGTCCTCAGAACACAGGTGGCCGTCAGGACATTTCCTACAATGTGGTCTGCAAGAAATGCGGAGCTGGGGATTCCAGCAAGTGCCGACCCTGTGGGAGTGGGGTCCACTATACCCCACAGCAGAATGGCCTGAAGACCACCAAAGTCTCCATCACTGACCTCCTGGCTCATACCAATTACACATTTGAAATCTGGGCAGTGAATGGAGTGTCCAAGTATAACCCTAGCCCGGATCAATCAGTGTCTGTCACCGTGACAACCAACCAAGCAGGTAGGAACCGATCTACTTTATTGTATGAACCAAATGTATATAGAGAGAGGACTTGTGTTGATATCCATGAGTGATATTAAATTTCGACAACTGAAGTAGAACTACATGGATCTAATTATAAACCTGGGAGCTGTGTTATAATACAAAAGACACTTAGAGGGGATGTTCATTCATTCAGCAAATGTTGTTTTGGACATCAGCTGCATAGCATGCCTTGTACTGGGTGGTGGAGATTAAATGAAGACCAAGACAGTGATTGAAACAGGACAATAGTCCAGTGAGGTGGGTCACTCTATGCTGGACTTCTCTTGTAAGGGATTCATATTGGCCATTTTAATCACAGGATCTGTCTGTGGTTGGACAGTAGAGCATTTATAAACTACTTAGGATTATAAAATTGATTTTTACCAATCTGCATTGGCATATTCATATTTGCTGTATTTGCCAACAAAAGCATTAGCAGCTATAGTTTTGATCTTGTTTCTTTTATTTCAAAATGTAAAAAATAATCGACATGGGTCTATACTAGAATCACCATGTAAATCTGTTAAGAGTCAATGGTTTAATGGGCAGTTTTATCTGTGTGGTCAAAAAAATTTCCCTTAAAACACATACTACTTTTGCAGCCCCTTTCATAGTTGAATCCACAATTCACACATGGGGGAAGAGAATTCATTTGCCTCATTTCCTGCATCACTTTCCTCTTATAATTGAGATGACTAGAAAACATTTTCTGTTCATGAAGTGGTTCTGCTGAGTTAATTGCAAAACTCGTGCAAAATCTTGAATGTCAGATATTTCAGAGTGCAAAGTAGAATCTAGGTTTCTAGGCTCCAGCTCCTGACCCACTCGTTCCCATTCCTCCCCTAAAAAAAGTCTCCACACTTCCTCCACCTAATTTTCCATCCTGGATTTCCGCCACATGTTTCTCATTGCGGGCTCCCTGTTACTTGTTTCTGGAGAGTGAAAAGGGAGCAGGAAAAAGGACCGTGGTTTATCCTTTTGTGAGGCACTTAAGAACAACAAACTTCACCGGAAAACGATTATAAATGGCCGACAGTCCTATCACCTCTGAGTGCACTTTTCTCTTAAATGAATGTTTCAGTAAGTGCACTCAATAGTTAAGTAAAATGTGTTTGTACTAATTGATCTATAGTGAGAAGTGTTGCCGTGTCCCAGTCCCAAGCCATTATTTTCCTACTTTCCCCTGAACTCTCTAGAATAAATCACAAGTTAAGACGTGGGGAAGATTGTGAACTGGAGCTAGAATGGCACATCCTCCCTGAAGGCCACTTCGGTTATACAAATGTGACCGGTCATTTAAAATATGTGGTGTGAACTGATCATCTGGTGATGCTTTTGTCTTTTATTTCTGCCCTTTTAGCTTGTGAACACTGTTAGTGGCAATCGGTTTTATTTTTCTACAAAGACTAGTATGATTTAGGAGGGTGTGATAGCATCATCGCAAGTACTTTGTGATTGCCAGTTCTTTATTCGTTCTCTTTTGGGAACATGCAGTGGAAATAGTGTACAGAGATCCTAGGAAATGCATTGGTGCCACTGCTGTCTCTGAGTCACAAGGATCCCACAAGGTACAGAGCAATCTGCGCACCTCTCAGAGAATCTGATTTGTGACCCAATCAATATTCTAAGGTTCAGCCCCGAAGCACCTTTTCGGCCACTCTCGGAACACACCGCTACTTTGTGTCCTTCACTGAATTAAAACTAGGAATGGACATTTTGAGGCTTTAATGTACAAGGTGAAGTCATTCTTTTTGGCAGAGAATAGCCTCTGGGAGACTTGCTGAGGACAGGCTTGGCTCCCACAGATTTTGTGGGGAGACTTCTATGCCTCTCTGAATACCTAAGGATTCGAGCCAAAGGATTATGTCAACTCCCACCGGGCCAGAAGTTACAAGAAGCACAAAGAAGACAGGTTCAGGATCCCCCCCAAAGAAGAAAATGTGCAAAAACATTATGAAAGAGGGAAGAAAAAAAGTCAGAGTTTTATTAAAAACGTAGGTGTAATTCTTTTAGCTCTCCGAGAAAGGTGGACGGGAGACTCCTCTGACACAATGAGGTTGTTTTCACTGCCATGGTGAGCAGTCCTGCCAGGAGGTTTGCTGAATAGGACAAAATTCCAGCTCCTTATTTTAATTTTCATGAAGGGTAATGCTGGGAAGCTGTTCAAAATTAAAAATAAATCTTTCAATAAGGAGACCTCCTATGTGGCCAGCCAGAAAGCTTTCGCTTAGCGGAGAGTTGTCTGTGTGCACAGTGCTGCCTCATTATCCTTCCATAATTTGGAGTACACAAATTCAAAACCATCGGGGTAGTTTATCTTTGATTAACAAACCCTTTCTTCATAGTAGTGCCAATTAATAACGTAGGCCAAAATTCGGGGTGGAGGTAACAACCATAAACTTGATCAACGCTCCCCTCAGCATATTTACATATGCACAATTACATTCTAACTGTCATCATTCCTATCATTTCATTAAATTAAATTCCTTGGGGACCTTCATAGGCACTGATGTCTTACTTTGTAAGGAATTACATGGAATAAATGAATGTTAGCATTTACCACCTGGAGGCCACAGTTTCGTGGCCTCTCCATTTTTGCTCTGTTTTCACAGGGTCCTTTCTCTGATCAGTAACATATTTAAGAACAAACACAAAACCTGCTAGCGTTCCTGGCTTTATCATCACCACCTCTGGGACTTTCACAGTGGAGCAGTTCCACGTAGGTGAAATGACTCCCCCAAGCCGATGTCAGAGCCGTTGAAACCAGAGAGAACCCTGCTCTTTTTTTCTAAAATTTTTAGATAATTAAGAGCACTCCTGTACTCAGCCTGGGATTCTCCCCATTGGTGAGAGCAGACTGAATATATCTGGGCGTGGAGATGCAGCATTAACGGGGCTTTGATCCTTTAGTTGTAGAATGCGGTAGGAGGGGGCCTGTATTCTCACAGGGTTATTTAGACCATTCTAACCCAACTCTTACTGCAGTGTTTTAGGGGCTATTAACACCTTTTCTTTTTTCTCTCCCCTCCTGAGTTCAAAAACAGTTAACCCTGAAGAGGAGACACAAGAGAACTCAGAATGTCCCCACCTTGTTGCAGATCATCTGATAAAAGGATATGAGCTTTGTATCTGTGGCCAAAAGTACCACATTAGGGACACTTTCCCAGTGTCACCCAGAGACAGTGTAGCCCAGCTGGCTGATTGCAGGCTCCCTGCAGGGGTAAAGTCTATACCCCTAAGTTTGCCCAGATGGAGGCTCTGTGCAGTTAGGTACGAGGGAGCAGACGGGGTTAACCTGAGACATGGTACTTCTCCCAAATTCTCTTCATGAGCCAAGTTACCCCACCCCCACCCCTATGCTAAGAGCAGTGAAGGAGAAATGAGAGTGGGAATGAGAAATGAGAAGGAGAAATGAGAAATGAGTGAGGGTGGGAACTCCAGCTAGAAAGTCACCCCGTAGTAAAACACCAGGCAAGGAAATAGTTACTTTCCGACATTACAGTCCACGAGGAACAAAGTGAGAGCTCCTTGAAAACTCTGATTTCCCTTCCTCCATTTTCTGTCCTCCAGCAACTGCTCTGCCTTTTGCTCAGGAGGAGATGGCTGTGATGTTTATGAAAGATGAATTAGCAAACTGCTGGGTGATTTGTTTTCTAGATGACTTTCCTTTGGTTTACTTTTGCTTAAGTGGACCATCTCAAGCAAATAAATACAGGATGTGTCACTAGGAGAGAGAAATGCTGTATAAATGAAATAAGGTTTCCCTGGCCAGGCAACAGAACTGAATATTTTTGCTAAAAATGCTGGGATGGCAGCCAGCAGATCTTAATATCACTGAGCCCGTTTTCGCTGTGTGACCCCAAACTCCCACCCCTCACACCTGTCTCCCACCTATGGGGCTGCACCATACTCTAGGTTGTTTGGCTTTAAATCGTGATGGACCCCTGTGGCTGGTGTTCTGTACTACCCCCAGATTGCACCTGTGGGGGGAGTGATAACCATTTTGATTTCTATTTTGCATATGACACTGTTCCCGAGGCTTTACAGTGAAATATACCTGGTAACCTCTCTTTAGCACAGCTAGAGTGTGCTAGTGACAAACATCTTTAATGCTCTGAGTTTGCAGGAGTTCAAATATTTAATGGATTATGTAATTATTTGAACCTCGGTAATCTCTCAAGTTCTTTTCCAACCCTAAAACTCTGTAATTCCACGAATATTAGACATGAGCTGTGAGGATGAAGAAGTGGGGCGTATTTCCCTGTGATGTTCAGAAACTGGCTCGAAAGGCAATTCTCAAAGAGTGGGGAAAATTCCAAAAAGTACTTCAGCAGAATGATCAGAATGCGTGTGAATCCTGCCTTCCCTTCACCCCTCCAACCCCCACCCTGCGGAAGTATTTTCTTGGAAGGGTAAAACAGTAAGCTAGCTGCACTTTTACTATGGTTGTTCCAGGCCTCTCCCCAGACATGCGACAATGTCTGGGAACATTTCTGGTTGTCACGCTTGGGAGGAGGGAATGTGCTATTGCATCTAGCAGGTAAAGGCCAGAGGGGTTGCTAAACATTCTATGATGCAGAGGACAGTGCCTCCCCCGTCCCCAGCCCCCAGCGTTACCAGCGTTATCTGGTCCGAAATGCCTTTAGTGCCAAGATTGAGGAACTCTGTTCTGGAAGAAATGTTTACACAACAGAGCTTGTGACTGCATTGCAATGCTCATTTCTAAGGGTTCCATCACTAACCTGTCTTTGTCTGGTTCCATTGCTTTGTGCTGGGAACATCATGCTCTCAACCACTGGTCTTGGTTTAAAAAGGCCCTTTGGGGCCTCTTAGGAAGAATCCCGGTTGCTGTGCCATCAGATGAGCTGGTGCTGCTTGTTAAACTGGCCTTGTTCTTTAGGATAGACAATTAAAAAACAAACAAACAAAAAAACTGCCAGAAAATTCAACACCAACAGCTAAGGGACAGGATACCTCGTTGTGATGTCACTATCCAGCGCTTAGGAGAAGC